ATCTTTACATTAGTTTACAATAATGTAAAGTTTACAATAGTGATACTTGATCACTTTAAATATAAAATGCTACTATTTTTTCATTTACGGGCTACGTTGTCTGAGCGCCAGTGCATTCTGTGAAATACGTATTACTACCATAAAGTAGAAAAGCTACATACGGCTAGCTCCTGTGAGTGTCATTGCAAACCCTTGCATAAGAAACGTGTGTTAAAAATGAGGAAAGAGAGACTTCTCAGAGTTTTGGCTTTATTTTAAATCTGGAATTGAACCAAGACTTAGAAAGGGGGAGGCAGCACTGTCGATTGTCAAGGACAACAGTGAGTGCCACACTCTAGAGGACTTCAGTGGGGACTCCAAGAAAAGTCACATGTGGCTTGAAGCTGAGAGTTCAGGGTAGACGTGAGAGTGTGAAAACCACAGTACAGATGCTCCTCAGACCTTCTGAGTGTGCAGAGGGCAAGGAGCTCATGGTGGTTATTAGACTGAATGGTAACTTATCTGTTCTTGCATGTCTGTGAGCTCTTTCAGGTAAGGGATTACATTTTATTAAATTTAATAAAATAAATAACTTTATATATTCAATTTATTTTTATAAATCTTTGCCCATATACCTACCACAGGGCTGCTACATAAGACACACCCAGTGTTTCAACGAAAGTGACTGGGCTGGAGCTGGAGAGAGAAAAAGCTCTCTCTCTCCTCTCTCTCTCTCTTAATTCTGCAAAGAGTTTGAACCTCCCAGTATCCTTGAAAAATGCCTAAAAGAGAAAAGCATCAAGACCTGCTCATCAAAGCGTCAGTCAGCTTTAGTCCCAGCAAACCTAGAATCAAAGGGTGCCCCCAATTTCCCATGGTCCTGAGGAATTCCGGGGGGGGCAGGGTCCAATGCCGTGCACAAGGGGGCCACTTCGGGCCTGCAGTATTGCAGTTCTTTGGGCAAACTCAGGCACGGGATCAGAAATCAAAGCCGTGTGTTGTCTAGAGTTGTTTATCCAACACAAGAAAGGGGCTGTGAGGCTGGGTGTGAAACTGCATTTTTATCATCTCGCCTCACCTGATTCAATGAGACATTCATCCTCTGCAACGTCTCACCTACGAGGGGCCGACCTCGCCATCAGATGACACAGGAGCCCAAGGTCCCTTCAGGGCCTTTCCAAAATGCTTTCATTTCTTTTGAAATCAGAAGAAAAATTAGCTTCTAGGTGGCCGAAAATATTTAAATAAATAAGAATAATATGCTCATCTTTACACCAATGCAGTCATAATATGTAATTTTTAGCTAATTTATTTATTTTGTTGAAGGATAGGTCCCACAAGGACAAAAGTTATAATTCCACCCAGTAACCACATGTGCCAGGAGTAGATGGGTGTCATAAAAGGGAGAAAAATCCTGTGTTCAGAAAAAACATCAATCTGTTAATCATAGGTGGCCGGATTGTTCTCAAGGACATACAGGTAAAGGCGGGGGAGTGGGGTGGGGCTGGAGGGGGGAGTCATGTGATGGCTGAGCTGAGTTGGGAGGAACCAGAATCCTTCACAAACCCCATGTTTGGGGGATATGACCCTCATTTCTCTCTTGCAAGCCCACTGCTCTGGCTAATTAGCAAGTAAAAGAAATAGAACTCTAGACCTCAGCACCATCAAGTTAGAGAAGTTATTTGAGGGTGCTACTTTTACACAGTGTAGTCACACCCTCTTTGTGTTGGTCAAAAGAGAGAAAAATATCTTTCAAACCCAACGCCCTCCTCTCTACCCAACAGCCCCAGGACAGTGGCGTTTCATAGCCGCTCTCATCTATTCTACACACCATCTCTTTTGTGCAGACAGGGACACACAATTACCACTGGACAACACCCATCAAGCTTCCCATACAAGAAGGACCTTTTAAAAACGCACTTGACTTTCAGGTGATTCAGCAGGAAGAGCCATTAGTGCACCATCTAAATCAGGACTTGGAAAGTTTCTTAAAATCGGATTTTTAACCTGATCCCAATCTCCTCTGCTTATAAAGGATCCCACTGGACTGCTTAATATTCGAGCTATTAACCTGAAAGATTGAAATGGCCATTATGGGAGGAGAGGCTTTACAGGGGCGCCCCACGGACAGGAGTTACAGATAAAATCACATGGAGCCCAGGCAAGTAGGGGGGCTATGGATGCTGGCATCTGCCCCGGAGCAAGCTCTTCCCTCCCCCATCCCAGCTCCCCTCCTCCTGGCCTCCTCCGTCACACACCTGGGGAGAAGACAACCAAACATAAAAGAAAACAAGCAAACCACTCAATTAGTTTTCATGGGAAGGGCATCTACCTTGAATAAATCTCCTCCTTTGCTGGTGCCCTATTACTCCCACTCACTGACGCCATGACTTTAAACTTCTGTGCTTTGTTTTTGTAAAATGAATAAATCATAGTTTCTAAGAAGGTTGGTGCAAAGACAAAATGGGCAACTCATGTAACCTGTCTGGCACAGTGCCTGGCACAAAAGCCTTGGATCCCTCTCAGCTGGTCTTATGACTGATTGTTGACCAGACTCACAGGTGAGTTGCTTTGTTTCCATTTCACTCCTTCAGCCTCCATCTTCTGCAGAACACAATTTGCAACTTAGCTGATGTCAGCGAGTTTGGGTAGTAATAGGTCATGGGTGTTAGTCTTATCTCTCCTTGAGATATGATTTTCTGCTCCCTCAGGGCAGTGGTGATGTCTTAACTTTCCATAGTGCCTGGCCTAGTGTAGAACGTATACCAGGTGCTCAATAAAGACTTTGGTATGTTCTAATATAAACATCTACTAACACCCTCTGATTTTCCAGTTGGTGACACTGAGGAAGAGGGTCTCCAGCCATACATTGAAGAGTGATGGCGACTTTTCCAGTTGACCACCACTATGTCTCACATGAGCCCCAATTTGGACACTGACAGCTTTGAATTGAAATGGAGACATGTCTGACCTAAACCATGACTCCTTGAGGGAAGTTAAGTTTAGAAGCCCATCTCCACCCCCATTTTTTTGAGACTACACTGTGTTTCAGACACCATGCAAGATTTTGGGAGAGATAATTAAGTTATGGTCTCCATGCTCAAAGCCCTTCTAATCTAGTGGGGAAGACAGATCTCTAAGCAGATACTTTCACTAAAATGTTGATGTTATAGTGATATTCATATGCCTATTAGGAAATCTAATTCGTGCCCAGAAGAGGTCAAGGAAGGGGGCTTAGGAGAAATGACAAATGTATTGGCAGAGACATAAAACTAAATGAAAACAAAAGAGCCAGTTAAAACTGCCTTATTTATCAAAACATAAGAACAGCGATCATTGATCAATGAATGTTGGCTGAAATGAAAAAATGAGAGAAGTTAAATTCCAGTCCTCAAATTCTTGTCACTTGCTAGATCTGCTTGGAGTCACTTCTTGCAAATGAAACTTCTAACAGAGACTCAGGGCTGGGACCTGCGTCCTAGTTCCTTTTGGGGACTTGCAGTGGGAGACTAAGCAGATCCCTTAACCTGCCTGTGGCTCCCTGGGTGCAAATCACACTGCCAGCCTCCCTTTGCACCTGGCAAATGAGCTGTGAGATTCAGACTCTGGGCACAAAAGCACTTTGAACTCTCATGGAAAAGTAATCTTAGCAACTTAGAACATCAAAGCCGCTCCTTATTTTGAAGAACTCATGATCTGCACTGGGCTTAGCTGCTGGTAGGAGCTTAAGGACACCAGTAATTGGGAAAGGTTTATCTTACACTACCTACCATTTGACCCACACAACCTCATGCATGGTTTTATACAGCTTCATAGAATGGGGGAAAAAGCACTTCTTTTAAAGCTAATGTAAATTTAAATGCTAAGGCTCTTTCGAGTGGAGCTTTAAATTGACTTTTTAAAAATTCATATAAATATATAAATATGTATATTTTATTTATTAAATATATATTTTAGACATGTCAACATTAGTCTAGCTCAAAGAAGTAGCCAAAGGCATTAAAACCCCTAAAGGCTTATTTTCCAAAATAAAGCTTGGCCCTGGCCTCAGATGTTTCTGGCCTTGGCTTTATCAGATGGCCAGAAAATGCTGGTCATTGCTTTGATTTCTGAAAGGGCAGCCAGCAGCATTAGCAGTAAAGAGGTCAATCTCCTATGGGAACCATTCCTAAGATGGGAGTGTTTTTAAACCCAGCAAAGTTAATGAAAGATTGGCAAAACTCAAGCGACGTATCTGAATTCTTCCAAATATTTATCTTCCAAATAGCTAAGATGTGGAAGATCTGCTGAAATCTCATCTTAAAGAATTAATGCACTTGGATGTTTCTTTGGCATTTATTAAAAACCAATGTGCTGGCCTGCCGTTGAGGTGACCTGCTTTGGCTGGGGTAGGCCTGTAAGCAGGCAGCCCAGCTTCCTAAGGCGACTCCAAACCCACGGCCCTACCCATCTTAAACTTGAAGTTGCACTGCCTAAAGCTGGTGGGTTCTCACGCAAAACCTCCCGCCTACCCGACCTCGGGGAGGCGCAGGGAGACCCCGCTTGGTTTCAGGGCTGGCGTTTGCAGTCCGTGCGCCCGCAAAGCACAGCTGGATTCCCCGCGCTCGCGGGTAGCTCGGCGCCCGGCGCCCGGCGCGCAGCCGAAGGGA